GCCTGTAAATAAATAATTGCAAGATAATTTAGGTATTTCAAAGAATTTTCCAGGAAAAAAATAGGAAGAGAGAGAAATAAAGAAAAACCTGTGGAAGAACCTTGGACGCCATTGATGATGAAGAAGTGAGCTATCAGAAGATGGAACTCCTTATCTAGTTTCTCATTCCAGTTTTCTGCGTTATTTTTTTCCTATCCGTTTCAATTGTTTATTTTTTTTTAAAAAAATCTCATTTTTCTAATTTTGTACAAGGAAGGGATGGGCTTTGCGGTAAGGAGTTCTCAGTTCTAAACTGTACAGATTGGCCCATTAAACCAATAAGATGAGCCCTTAACCCTTATGAACAATTTTTAAGTTTTTGTTGTATAGGTAGCTTACAAAGTTATAGTATATTGATTGGGACGAAATTTGATATCAAAGGTCCAATATATCAAAGTTATGACCTTCTAATAGAAGAGGGGATCCAAACCTCAGATCATAAGAACATGTAATATGGCACAATTTAAATGCTCTTAAATTAATACTTCCGCCGTTCTTTTTTACTTGATCCGCTTTGACTTTTATACTATTTATCACTCTTTTTTTTACTGTGTTACTAAAGAAGAATGCTACAAGAGTGGGTGAATTGTAGTATAGGAGGAACTAGACAACTTTTTGTGGAATTATAAAAACTAAGCTAAAGGAACTCAAAGTCACACGGAGAGATTTTAGCGTGGAAAACTTCTTGGCCCTAACAAGAAGGAAAACCACGATCATTAGGGATTTTAGGAAAGATTCTTTACTATAATAGGGCAAACAACCTATTACAAGCTAAAGACTCTATCTCCAAGTTCCTCAACGAACTTAGAGTTCCCAACAATAAGTCCCTCAACTTACTATTATCCTCTTCTCTTTCTCTTCTCTCTCTTTCTCTTACAGTTCCTCTTGAGTTCAGTCAAACTCCCCAATTCCCGATTACAACTCTTGGAAGAAAAACTCTAATGAAAGAAAATAAGAAAGTAATACACTAAAGTAGAATGCGACTCTTAACTCTTAGAATAACTTAGAAGATAAAAAGTGTATTTGAGCAAGGTGAGTTTTTCCAGAAAACAATTTCTCTATTTATAAGAAAAACATAGCTTGATTAAAACGCCATATTGCTCTACACTTACGCCACTACTACTGCAAACCAACACCACTATCCTCCACCACTTCCAGTGCTTCAATCATGTCCTTCAACCCAGGACACGTTAAAGCAACAAGAAGTTTCCTTGTTTAGTGGAGAAAACCAATTCAAATACCAGTAGCGCAAGATTAGGAAATTATTTAAAGATATTTTTTTGAAAAATCTTTATCCGAAAATAAAAGTTATTCTTTTAACCTAAAAGTCAGAAAAGGATATTTTTTATAAATAGCTAAATTCGTATAGTTAAGCAATTTCAATTTTTATCTTTTAACAAAAACGTTTTAGGCATTCTACTAAAGTATCAAACTCCTATTGAATCTCACTTACATAAAACCTAAAATAAAAATACTTTAGACTTTATTAATTCTCTAAAGAAGCCTCCACTCCGAGTCTTCATTCTTCAGCTCCTAATCCGAAGCTTCTGTTCCTTTAAAGGAACACTGCAAACAGTCTTTGCTTTTGAGCTCCAGTTCCTTTGCTTCGAATGACTCTGCAACTTGTACTTAAACTACACAGTCATGAAAAACATTAATCCCAAATATAAGTTTGACTTGTGTTATCATCAAAACATCAAGGGTAACAGACCGTATTTTGTGAATTATATGTAAGGAGAAACATATTCATTTGGAATCTTGTTGAAATCGTCTCAATAAATACTATCATAATATATAAGTTTTATAATTTTTACTTATAGAGAAATATAGTTATTGATGGTTATAGTTGTGCATCGGCAAGCGTGATAAAAGAAAAAAGGTCAAGTAAAAAAGAACAGAGGAAGTACGACTTATACAAGTACTATTCACAAGGTCAAAGTTTTAAAATTTTGGCCTTATCTAATTGTATATACTTCCTCCGTTTCTTTTAGTTGCTACACTTTCCTATTTTGGAAATTGTTAATTACTTGCAATACTTTTCATTTTTGACATTTCTTTCTCTCTATATCTCTCCTACCCACATGGGTCCTTTTTATTTTTCTCTCTATCTCTTTCCTCTTCAAAAATTGTCTAAGAGACAATGAAAATAAAAGTGTTGCAACTAAAAAAAAAACGAAGGAAGTATATAAGAAAAAAAAAAAAACATTATCAAGTTTGATCTTATTAGATTCGTATTGTTATGAATTTTCAATAAATCAGCTTTGTATAATTTCACTAATGCACAATCAAAGAAATTCATGGTAAAAGTAGTGCATTGGAGACCGTGTAAAATGCAAGTGAGTAGCATCTAGCAAACAGAGATATTATGAATAACATGATTATAGGCAAAATATCAAGAGCACCTATTTATTCCCCATGGCCTATATTATTCCAAAATAACATGATTATAGTTTGAACCTTTTGGGGCTCAATCTTAACATAATCCATTAGTAAATAAAGTGATTGTTGCTAAAATAAATTTAATTAGTATAGATGGTAATGTTAACAAAATTAATTAAAATGAAGCTATCCATTTTTTATAAAATATGAATTTTGATATTTTGATGTTGACAAAGTTGAATCCTGAATATGCTACGGTGTATTAAAAAAAAAATCCATTTTATGGATGTTTAGTTTGTGTAAAAATGAAGCGTGCTATGCCAAATTGCCACTAATTAGATTTGATCTACGTTCAATTGCAATGTTGTATTAGCAAATGAATGTCCAAAAACGTGCAAAGTAAATCACGAGATAATGAGTTCTACAGATTTTGTGGTATTAAAAATAAGATGGAAACAAGTCACCACCTCTTAGCCGAAGCCAATAGACGTACGTAACAAATAATATAAAGATTATAAATTTCTAATAGTACAACATAATATCGAACCTATAAAGGGGCAAATTAATAAACAACAAGAAATTAAGTACAGTATATATGAATAAATATAATACTAACAATTCGTAAAATAAGAAGAAGTAGAAACAAAGGACCACCTCTTAGTGCAAGCCAATAAAGATAGGAGGAGAACAAACTATTCCCAATAAAAAAAAATATCCAAATCAAACAATACTATCATTATTGTTAATTATCGAAAATGAATAAGTTCCATTTTTGAGCAAATATAGGAATAGAAATAAAAAAGTAGTACAAAGTAATTATTGCAGTTTAAGAAGAAAAAAACATCTATTCATTAATGACTAAAATAAGAAACTAGGTATGTATCAGCCAATTAATGTTTGATATAAGTCAATATTATGGACATATTAGACATTAATAAAAACGTATCATCCAACAAAAGGAACCTATCAGCTAACAAAAGATACATATCAGCCAAGAGACGGAACATATTAGCCAACAAAAGATACATATCAGCCAACAAGAGGATGAAATCAGCCAACAAAAGGTACAAATGAGTTAACAAAAGGAACATGTCAGCCAACAAATGAAGCATATCAGCCAACAAAATGATGAAATCAGCAAACAAAAGCAACGAGTAAGCCAACAAAATGAAACATATAAGCCAACAATTAAAATATACTTATCAGTCAACAAAATAAATATATCAGCCAACTAAAGAAACAAATAAGCCAAATGATGTCTGATATCAACCAACAAAAGGAAAAAAAAACATATCAGTCAACAAAATGAATATATTAGCCAATACAAAAACCATATCAGCCAACAAATGAAACATATCAGCCAACTCATGAAACATATCAGCCAACAAGTAAAATATATCAGCCAAGCCTCCCGCACCAAATTGTGTGCGGACGTCCGCCCCCAATACCTTATCTCTTTTCTTCTATGTTAGTATAAATATGCAATTTAAGAAAGTATTATATTAATAAGGTGAGTGGATGTAAAATAGAGTAACAGAGAATATAAAAAATGAGTAAATGTAAGAAAAAGATGAATACTGTAACAGAGTATATGACCAAGTGTGATTATTGTAGAGATAAAAAGATATAACGTTAAAAGGAAGAAACCTAAGATAAAACAACACAAAGTGAATAGAAGAAAGAAAACCAAGGGAATACAAACAACCATATAATTGTGATAGGAAATCGACATATTTTTATAAAAAAAAAAAAAAAAAAAAATCCCAAAAAAAATCTTGTACGAAGTATCTATGAAAATAGACTAATCGAGTGACGAGCGTATTTGCATTTAATTTTTAATCGGTTTGGATTAATAATTTGAAATAGAGGGGCACTTTATTAAATTATTAACAACGAATAGATGTTTTGAAAAAAAAAATCTATATCTATATTTATTTATACTTATATATTAAAAAGCATTCTTAAAATTGTTTATGTGTCACGTGTGCATTAGCATTGTGCCACATCATCATTTTGCGCCACATCACCACTAGCATTGCAACAAGCCAACAATGTCATTATTAACTTGAGAATAAATAACACTAAACCTCATGGATGTAAGATTACATTTCTTATCATCTTAGCCAATTATAATTAATGTACTTTGTTTACACATAAATAAATTTATCTTTCTTAAATACAAAAAAAGATAAAGAATACTTATGTAACCTACAAAAAATGAATAAAGCGGAGCAGCCTTAACAATTCCAAGTCAATTGGAGGATTATTCTCATTAAATCCATTTTATTTATTATATTTTTTTTATTAACGTTATGTGTTTAAAGTAATACTCCGGTACAACGCTCGGACCATACCCTAGTTTCCACCCTTAAAAAGTTAAAACTCAACTCAAATTTAATTTAATTTGAGCTCAATGAAATCTAAATGGATCTAAATCATAGAACTCATACAGTCATATCCTAGTTCTCTAAATGATTATTGTAAAGCATAATAAATATTCGGATATAGAATCTAAACAGTGGAATATTCTTCTACTTTAAACAAAAGAACACCCCTTAACGCAAAGCAGCAGACATGACGTGAGTGGTGAAGGAATTGAATTGTTTCCATTCACAAAACAACTCGTAACTTCATAAGTTACTCACTTACTCGCCTTTCTTTTGCCTAAAATTGCCAGCGTGGCACCGGAGTAAAAATAATATAGCCTCACAAATAATCCACGTGTCCATCTCGAAACCTCCACCCATCTCTTATTTCTCTTCCTTTCACTCCCGCCATCGCCGTTCACCCTCTTCTCTCTCTCACTTTCTCTCTCCCTTTTTTTTTTTCTCTCTCTTCGTTTTAGCCTCTCTAACCGTTTTTCTCTCTCCTCTTACTTTGATTCTCAGTTGAATTATCTCGAACAAATCGGTTTCCGATTTCGACTTTTTTTGTTTTTTTTTTGAAATTTTGATTATGATGTCAGAAATTATAGCTACAATGTGTTCATCTTCAAATTCTTGTTGATTCATTCATTCATCTGTTTTTTTGAATAATCGGTGAGTTTTTTTTTTCTTCAGTTTGCTGTTTAATTGAAGTTTTTCGTACGAGGTGGGATTGTTTAATTAGTCATTTAATATTTAAATAATTCAATTTATTGATTTTTTTCCCTTAATTTTGTTGGTTTATATAATTGAAGTTTTTCGTATTTGTTCTAGTGATTGTAATAGGTCTCATTTTTTAATCTGTTGATTATTGATTTATTATTGTTGCCATTTCTAACATTTAAAATTTAAATTATGGGAATTGGTTACAATGGATGCAGTAAAAATTTATGGTAAGGTGTATGTAAGAATAGAGGGGTAGAAAGGAAACATAGGGTAAAATAGTGATGTAGACGGAATTTGATCCAAGGTGTTGGATATTACTACCCTCGTACTTTACCAACTTAGCTACTTGACACCCACAGGTAAGCCGGTGACTTGGAAGAGTAACTGTAATAAACTGAAGGTTTAAAATATTGGTGACTTAGGTCTAGGTGGAATATTTAAAGCAAGTGATAAAATAAATTGTATGCAGACAATTTAATGCTCAAATACCTGAAAGAATTTTAAATTTAGGATTAAATTGATTTGTGACAGAAGTTATGCTTTATATTAATTGTGTTTGATGCAGCATTGACTTAATTGTTGTCATATTAACACACCTAATTAGCCTGTATACTACTGGAGAAGGAAGGATGCTAATTCACTAATTAACCCCATGTACTTTGCAACTTATCGAATTCTTCGTCTTATTATGTAAAGTTCTTAAATTTCCAAGATGATCGATTTCACCGACGAATTCTATCATATATGCAATGTATGGAAAGTAGATATCTGTTGACATTGTGGTTACTTGGTTGCTCAATTAAATTGTTATCTGTTATTCTTTGTTTACGTTGTTATTTTCCTTTCAATTTTCAGGAATTTTTCATACAAGTAATTTTTTTATTCATTTGGTAAGTAAGCATAATAATTGTATTACCGCATAAAAAAAATTCACTGATTAACTCTAGACCAATGCAAACTTTCTAGGAAGGACTGCCAAGAGTTAGGAAGCGGAACAACCAGGCTTAAGCTTAAAACAACCTATTTACGATGTAAAGCATCGAACTGATTTGTACACCTGTCACTTATCTTCTGAGGTATAGGGCTATGAAGTTATAGGTTTGTTATAACTGGTCGTTGAACTTAAATTGATTGGTTTAGGCTTAGAGTAACGATACTGAGCTATCTTCTTAGAATCTCTCTGGTGGTTTGGCGAAAAGCATCATTAGCTAATCTTTATGATTAATGTTAACTTTATTAATAGAAGATTGAAGTACCTTATAAATTTTTTGTGATGGATAAATATCAGTATTCAAAGTTGACGTTGATGCTGAAAATTTTGTTATATGTGACTTGTAGGTTTTTTTGACCATCAAGATGGCTCGTAGCTCTAATGTGTTCAGGGGGACTCCTCCTCCAGGGATTTCTCTTATAAGAAAATTGAGAGGCAAAGATTGGAGTTTTAAGTCATACAGATATGCTGTTCTGTTAATTACCTTTATTGCTTACACTTGTTATCATGCTTCCAGAAAACCTAGTAGCATAGTGAAGAGTGTTCTGGATCCTGAACGAGATAAATCTACACTGTCAAATATCTGGCCTATTGGGAATGTTTTTGTCAGGGAAGAACTATTTGATAGTGATGTAAACAGATTAACGAAGAAAGGCTGGGAACCTTTCGATGGAAAAGATGGGACGTCAAAATTGGGTGAAATTGATGTTGCATTTCTTGCATGCTATTCCATGGGTATGTATGTTGCTGGTCACCTGGGGGATAGTCTTGATCTGCGGCTGTTCTTGACTACTGGCATGATTGGTAGTGGCATATTTGTTGCACTTTTTGGAATGGGTTACTTCTGGAATACTCATGCTTTTTGGTTCTTTCTACTGATGCAAATGATTGCTGGATTGTTTCAAGCTACAGGTTGGCCCTCTGTGGTTGCTGTTATTGGTAATTGGTTTGGCAAAAGAAAGAGGGGTTTGATAATGGGTATCTGGAATGCTCATACATCTGTTGGGAATATTACCGGGTCTCTACTTGCAGCTAGTGTTTTGGAGTATGGATGGGGTTGGTCTTTCATTCTTCCAGGAGCTTTAATTTTTTCCGGAGGCATTTTGGTTTACTTGTTCTTGGCTGCCTATCCTGAGGATGTGGGTTTCCCTTGTCCTTATGCTTCGAAGAATGAAGAGACAGGGCCGAGTAAGCTAGAAGCACAGAGTTGTAAACTTGAATCAAATGATGGTCAACCACATGTTGCCCCTCAATCGTCTTCAACTTCCAGGAGAAGTGTCGGGCTCTTTGAAGCATGTTTGATACCAGGGGTGATACCTTTTGCCTTGTGTCTCTTCTTCTCGAAGCTTGTGGCATACACTTTTTTATATTGGCTACCATTCTATCTTAGTCAGACAGGTTGGTCATGCCATTTTGAATTCACCTTAGATGTAGCTCTTTGTTTAGAACTTTAAATCAAAGTTTTTCTTACTTGGAAATTATGTGAAGTCTGATGCTGTTAATCTCTTTGTAGCTTCTCAATTTGATATTCTTCTCTTCTTTTTCAATCTGTGCTTCTTTTTAAACACAATTCTTTTATGAGGTCAAGAAATAAACTTCCTAGATATGATCTGGATGTTGGTTGATTGAATTTTTCTCCCCTCCCCCCCCCTCCTTTTTTTTAGTTGGGGAAGAAAGGATATAAGACTGATAAACAGACACGTTGCCCGTAGGACTTGCATGAAACGGATCTCCTTTTTATTTAATTTTTTTTTTTTTTTGGGGGGGGAGGGGGTGGTGGGGTGGGGAGGAACTGCGTAGACAAATGGCTGTGTAATTTTTTCAAGTACTATGAACTTTGGGAATTAGTTTCCCTTAAGTACCTTCAATATCTTAGTGAGCAGTTGATAAACTTAGATTCATAATGCGCGAGTGAGTATTTTTTTAACTCATCGTTTTGAACTAGGATTGGGGGATAGGTCAAGGGATCACTTGATGGCTTAGGATATGGTTTCTTGACTAAGATATTAGCTTTGCAAATGTAGCTAAGATTCTGTATCGTTCATGTGTTATATTTCATGTTATATGACTTAAATATAGGTTCCAACATTCTAAGAATGTTTTGACCCTTTGTTGCCTTTATTGATATCTATTTTGCATGTGATGAGTTTGAACATGGACTTTTCTTACTTTTAAAGGAAATTGAAAAGTGGGCACGGGAGTCTGACGTTTTCTTTATAATTTTATCTATCTATGCAGCAATTGGTGGAGTTTATGTTTCTGTAAAGTCTGCAGGAAATCTTTCCACTCTCTTTGATGTAGGGGGCATCGTAGGTGGCATAGTTGCTGGCCACCTCTCTGATAAACTTAATGCTAGAGCTATTACTGCAGCCACTTTTATGTACCTTGCAATCCCATCAATGCTGCTATATCGTTTTTATGGTGGTGAATCCATGACTATGAACATTGTCCTCATGATGGTTGTTGGATTGTTTGTCAATGGACCGTATGCACTCATAACTACGGCAGTTTCTGCGGATTTGGGCACTCACAGTTCGCTGAAAGGGGATTCTCGCGCACTGGCAACTGTTACTGCTATCATTGATGGTACAGGTTCAGCAGGTGCAGCATTGGGTCCTCTTCTGACTGGATTCCTTTCAAGAAAGGGATGGGATGAGGTCTTCCTGATGCTGATGATTGGAGCTCTGATCGCTGGCCTTCTGCTGTCACGGCTGGTAATAACAGAAATCAGTGATTTTCTTAAAAGGAATCAATCTAATAATGCACAAAGCACCACAGGTAACTTTCCTGCTGTTTTAAATTGCTGTAATATTCTGAGTAAAGTTCCACCTCTTTGTCTGCTCTTTTTGGGATCAAACTAAAATAATAGATTGTGGATCTTGAGAATAAGATTACTGGTAAATATTATTGATGAGGATTTTTAGTCTCCATTTGCTATTGACTTTTAGCTGCATGCAAAATGGTTGGTTCTTTCGTGTAATTCTTTTGTTTTTTCTTTCATTTGTTCTGTCTGTAGGGAACACATTTTGTGCTCACTGACCTGTTCTCATGACCTTGTTTTGCTAGATCTTTTGGGATATTAAGCTTTTTTTAGGACAAGTGAATCAAGCAGTGCTTAGAAAGATAGGGAATATGACTATTTGATTCCAGATGAGCTGTTCTCACGACCTTGGTTTTTCACTACTCTCCAAGTTTTAGTAATTGGGATCGTCATGTTGGCCTGAACTCAGGCACACCAATGACGCTCTGCTGTGTTAAAACTTTGGTAGGGTAGATTTGCTTTGTTTTCTTCCATGGTTAAATCAGAGCTGCATGTTGTGATCCTTCTTAGCAACTTTTTTGCAATTCTTCTTTTTTTCATTCCTTGGAGGACGACGATTAGACTGGCATTGTTATATACAGGTCAGAATGCTGGGCATTTAAGAAGATGAGTGTATCAGAGATGCATATGTTGAGATGAAAGTGTGGGAACACCGGGAGGGATAGAATAAAAATGTAGATTTATGGAGGAATTTTGGAGTTGCTAATGTTGAGGATAAGGCAAAGGGGAATCGGCTATATTAGTTTGGGCAAGTGAGACGACAACTGGAAGATGCTGCAGTGGTAGTGTGAAGGGTTGGTATAATGAAGATATCTAAGGCCTAAGATGATCTGGATAGGAGTTAAAATGGACACGAAGAAAGTGGTTTTCAAGATTATGCATCACTAAATAGTAGTGAATGAAGGAAAAGTATCTTAGTGGATGACCACTAGAGAATAGGAGATAGATTCTTAGGGAATGATGCTTTGGTTTTGTTGTTGCATTTGCATAGAAATTTCACTTATTTCAGCATACCGTTGGGTTGGCAGATTGGTAAGGGTTAATTTTCCATGGAAACTGGAAAGTCTACCGGTATCCCTTTTGTTAGTGTCCTAAAGGAAGCAGTAATCTTATCAAGGTGAACTCATTGTTTTTGCTAGGGTAGAAAACTTCTTCCTTATACGAGGAAGAAGTGCCGTATTAGTTACCCCATAGTCCCATACCTTACCGTTCTCCTCTTCTCCCCTTGATATCCCCCCTTCCCTTCCTCTCTAATTTGACAAGGAAACAAAGGAAAATAAAGTTTTAAAGCTGACTTCTTTTGTAATGTACTATATACAAAACTTAAATTGGAGTTTTATTCTCACCCAATGAGCAAGTGTACTTCAGCTCTGGAAGAGTAGGCAATAGAATGGTTTTAGCATGCCATGCAGTTCTGATGGGTTACCCTTCGAGGGAAGAAAAAAAGGGGGTGGGGGGGGGGTGGGTGGGTTTAAGATGAATAGGTATCCCTGCCTAAGGATTAATATTAAAAAAAAAGGTGGGAGTGAGATCAGGGGTTACAGGGGTAAGGTAGACGAGACAATTATGTTGAATACTAAAATGAGGTTGCCCTGTTGTTATTCATCTGGGAAGAGATCGTGGCCTGATATGCTGTTAAAGATGGAGAGATATGAGCCTACAATTTGGGATTGATGAGAAATTTTGATTTCCGTTTATAATCTTGCTGAGTTTGCTGTCAACATTAAGCTATAAGTAAAACTAAATGCAAAATTAAGAAATTGACCAGTTTTAGTGTAAGGTGTTTGAGACTGCGTTGAAAATGTATCACTGATCTTTAGTGCCTGATAACTCATCTAACTTGATGAAAAAGTTTTTTTAATCTGAAAATTCGAGTTTTATATAATGTTGGCTGTTATAAACTCCTTATGAAGATTTAGATTTATGGGTTCTGTATTGATTATGACAGGTTCTGAATCTCAACCTCTTCTGAGTGACCAAAGGTGAAGAATGGGACCAAAGGTGAAGAATGGGTGTGAGATATGGCACTCAACCACAGGAGCCTTATCCAAGAACAAGAAGTTGAGTCCATATGTCAATGCTATACTGCAACAGTGGTCCAATAAGTTTATTTCATAAATCGGTCATTGACCTTTTTGAACTTGCAGCAATGATACTTGACAATGTGGTTCGTTTTAGCGAATTTAGGGTCTTTTGTTTCAATTTATTTAAGTTTTTGTCGTATGCCAATGTATGTAATTGTATCAAAGCCAAGAGCTTAGATTTTGTTTTGTTTTGTAGGGCAATGAGTTTGCCTTTGGTGGTACCATAAACGGATTATTATCCGAAAGTAGGGGCACTAGATTTTTTTGTGCTTGAGTTAACAGAGGGTTTTGCCGCCTCAGTTTCTGGCTTTCTGCAACAAGTTGCAGATAAATTGTACCTTATTAGAGTCACAAGTTGATAGAACTGGTCCTTGTTAAATTGAAGATTGTATTCCTTTCACTTGCTGGTAATTATTATCTTTGATAAGAATAAAAGAAGTTATTGAAGCAACTTTTGTCTTGGATCCTTGCAAAATGCGCATGTTTAGATATCATTCATGTTTTTAATGATGGATTTTACTGCAAAACACTAGTTTTGATAACATCTTGGAAGAGAAAGAAAGGGAAAAGGAGGCGGGAGGGAGGAGATTAAGGGGTGTTCACCGGTCTAAAAACCGGACCGGACCTGTTGGGACCGGGACCTGAATTAGGGGATTTTGAGGACCGGAGACCGGACCTGATTCAATAGGTCCGGTTGCGGGTCAGACCTGAAAAATCATGTCCGGTCTGGGATTGGACTTGAATAGACCTGTTTTGTTATTTTTTTTGTTTTTTTTAATAAATAACCTGTTGGACCTGCATATGGACCTGTTTTGTGATTTTTAGACCTGTTGCATAATTTAATAATTACATAAAATCCGAAATTATCAATCACAATTTATTTATTTTTAGACCTGTTGCATAGACCTGTCTTTGATTTTAGAATTTTTTTTTTTCAAAAAAAAAAAAAAAAAAAACAATTTTACCGGGTTTCAGGTCCGGACCTGAAAACCCCGATTTTGAACCTGATCCGGACCGAAACCGGAAACCTTGAATTTTAAGGACCGGGACCGAACCTGAATCTACAGGTCCGGATCAGGTCCGGTCCCAACAGGTCGGTTTTCAAGTCCGGTCCTATTTATGAACACCCCTAGAGGAGATGGCGCTCCATTTCCCTCCAAATCTCCCCAAGACTTACAACTCCTATTTGGGCGATAATAAAATCTTAACTGGTCCGTATACAAGCCTACATCAAAGGAAAATTCGTTGATAGGAGTAGCCTACTAGTGTTATCTGTTATATTTAAGTCATTATTCCTCTAAATCTTCTATATGAAACAATTAGTCTTAACTCACATATAAATTATTTTCAGGATAAGACATTGATTAATCACTATACCGATGATTTCCTTTTAAACTTTTCTTTGCATAACCATTCATAATAACTCAAGTGAAATATTATGGCAATATAGCACCTACATACTATACATACTCTCTCCGGGTTTTTTTTTTATAAGTTAGAGTTACTATTTTCGTCCGTTTTTTTTATAAGCTAGAGTTCCATTTTTGGAAATTTCTTACAATTAAAAATATATCTTTACCCACTAATGTCCCCATTCTTTCTTACTTATCATTTCTCACTCCTCCAATGTTCCTCACTCCCTCTCACATCAATTTACTTTATACAATAAAATAAGGGTAATTTGTAAATTACCACCCAAAAATAAGACCAATATTGACATAACCACCCAAAACAAAATTATTTTTATTTAACCACCCATTACATTAAATAAGCGTGCAGATTACCACCCATTTCTAAATTCCAGTGAAAATTCCGTCAGTAGACCCCACTTTTTTTTTTTTTTTTCTTTCCTTTTTTTTCTTCTATTTTCTAGCTTTCTCACTCTCTCTCCCCGATTTTTTCACTCTTCTTCTTCCTACCTTCTTCCACCTTCAATCCTCACCCCAATCTCCCCCACTTTCTCTCTCCTCAATTTTTGTATACTTCCTAGCCACTGCAATCTACCCCACCACCCTTAACACACCCCACCGACCACCGCCTTCAACTTCCCTGCCCTCCACACACATCTCACCGCCCTCAACAAACCCCACCGAAAGAATAAGGGTCGATTTAGGGTTCATGCTTCAATTGAAGTGGGGGTTTTCTTAAATTAGGGTTCCTATTTTAAGAAAACCCCCAATTCAATTGAAGAAAACCCCCAATTCAATTTTTCTCTTTGTTGGTTATTCTTTCTTTCCCAAATTATCCCCAAATCCCCTTTCTTGTTCCTTGTTTGGATGAATTTATACCCGACAAAATCTGGGATTTTGAGAGATTAATTTTTCTAGGTAACTTGAATTTTTGATTAATTGATTATTCATGCCATTTTTTCGGTGGCGAACGGAAGGGGAGGAGAACAATTATGGGGGGCTGGCGAACGGAAGGGATGGATTTTCAGGGGGTTGGGGGGAAGGGGAGGGGTGGGGTGGTTTTCGGTGTTGCTGGAAAAAGAGATAAAAGGCGATTTGCGGGGTGATTTTCGTGGCTGCTGGAGAAGGGTGGTTTCCGCGGCTGTTTGGGATAGGCGGTTTTCGGTGGTGGTGTTGTGGTTAACGGTTTCCAGAGGTGGTGTGAAAGGTGGAGCAATGATGGTGGTGGTGGTTGGGAAGAAGAAAGGAAGAAGGTAGGAAGAAGAAAGTGAAAAAATCGGGGAGAGAGAGTGAGAAAGCTAGAAAATAGAAGAAAAAAAAGGAAAAAAATAAAAAAAAGTGGGGCCCACTAACGGAATTTTCACTGGAATTTAGAAATGGGTGGTAATCTGCGCGCTTATTTAATTTAAGGAGTGGTTAAATAAAAATAATTTTGTTTTGGGTGGTTATGTAAATATTGGTCTTATTTTTGGGTGGTAATTTACAAATTACCCATAAAATAATAACCTTATCTACCCCACTTATATCTTATTTTATTAAATATCCTAAAACTCCACGCAATCTCATCTCTAACCAATAAAAAAAACGGAGGGAGTACGAATTTAATGGCTTTTACTCAATTTGGCTTTCGCATACATGAAAATATTATAACTAGTGTTTCGGTTAGAAAACAGTGGACCTTTGGCAGATCCTTCGGATGAGTGGAGACGAAGCCCAATTCGAGTGATGACCGAATTGAGGATTTCCTGCACAGCTAAACACACGTGAACTAGCCTCGGGGGTTGCGCCGAGGAAGGCCCCTCCGAAGCCGAAGTCAGTACGGGTGTAAGATAATGAGAGAAAAGCTGTGCAAGAGAGTTTATTTGCTTGAGGCAATTTGTGTGAATGAATGTAATTGTGCAAAAATATGAGCTTTTATACCTTACTCCAATTGAGTGGATTGGGTTTAAGGAGTTAAATGGGCTGCCATTTAACTGGGCCTTGCATTACCTGACTTGGCCTTTTGAACATGAGGGTTGAACCTTGCCTTGTGGGCTTTGTTTATTTTCATTTGTGGACTGGACTCAAATACAAGTTATTTGGACCCCAAACAACTAGCTAGCTTCTTTGGCTTCAATATACAGCTTGCAGTATATAAACTACCTATATATCGTTAGCCTTAAATCTCAGGTATTTCATAAGTAAGTCATATGTTGTTCCCCCTTCAATTTATTTTAATGGATTTCTCATTTATAACTGAACTTTGTATTTAGCATTAGCTTCACTTATTGAACTTTTCTCATATTCGATTTCGAAGTATATTATTATAGAGCTTGAAAAAAAAAAAATAAAGAAACTGCTCCCCCACTAAGTTCTTATTTTCTGAAGATATATTCTCCAATCAATTCCTTTCTTCCCCTAACGTGCATGACAATTATCCCACTAATCCCATTATTAAAGATTATAATTATATTTGAAATATTTATTTAATTATCTGATAAGTGATCATCATTTTCATTTGTTTTGCTATAAATCAAGCTCAGTTCCACATTCATTTTCAAAAAACCAAAAAAACTAAAAATACACACTCCTCCCTATTTCCTTAACACATCCTCTTTGTTTTTTTTAGGTTGGTGTGTGTGGTAGAACAAATAATACCAAAATGACTCTTTCACGTGTCACTCTTGCCCTTACTCTTATCGTGGTCTTTGTAGGGTCCGCCTTTGCCCAAGGACCCGTTATGGCCCCAAGCCAAGCCCCCACCACATTGTCCACACCCGTGGCACCCGTCCCAGCCCCAGCAGTAGTTGTGGCTGCACCTGTCCCAGCCCCAGTGGCTGTAACCGCAACACCCGTGGCACCCCCAGTAGAGGCTGCTGATGCTCCTGTAGCCGAAACCCCAACCTTGGCTGCTATGCCTCCAACTGACGTTACCATGGACGGCCCCTCCATGGCCCCGGCCCCGGGACCGGATGGTGATCACGATGGTCATGATCATGATGGTGCATTTCTTCATGGAAGCAGCTTGGCTCTCATGGCTGCCCTTGGAGCAGTTGCTGTCTTTGCCTAATTCATCAAATTACAAGCATGAGATTTTTCTATTTAACTCTTTTATTGTCATTTATTTATAAAATTATATTGTGCCCTTCAAAAACAAAAAAAGAAAAAAAAATGTGTGTTTGTAGAGGGGCAATTCGCTTGTTTTTCTATATTTGTTTCCGGTGACCTTTTTAACACATGCTACGTACTCTAATCGTACGTATGTTATGGGTTGACTTTTGGTCATTAAATCTTTTCTTCAGCAATTTATTGAATTACTATATACTTCGTATTAAAGCTCCAATTTTTTCAATTGTTTGTGTTGTTTAATTTACATATACATGAGTGTTCTAATCTTTTCTTGTTTTATTTTATTAGACAACAACAATTTATTCAATACAAATACGTGTGGTAACATTGTAATCCTTTCTTAATTGATTTTCATTCGTTTTTAAAGATCTTATCATTTCATTTAATATTCATCATGTGGTCAAAGTTATAAAATTTTGACGGCCTATTTATACAAGTAGTAGTCATTTATATGAGTACTTCATAAAATCATTTGTTTGGATCAGTTTGGATATATAATTTCATAATATTAAGTTTTAATATATTTTGACCAATATGAAAAGCTTTCATATTTGTATTTGGTATTAGACAAAAGTTGACTACTGATAGATATTATAGTTATGATAATATTTGTCACAGATTATGATAATATATGTATATTTTATGTATCCTTACCGTATGAGGATTACGAGTCTTGTAAAACTCTATATATATTGATCAATGGTACACACTCCAGAGTAAAGAGTTTTCCCGAAATCTAACATGGTATCACAGCTTAGGTTTTAGATCTCAAATTTTTTTTTATTTGGTTTTCATCATAAAGTCAATCAAAAATCACACCCCTCAAATTATGTTATACCTTTAATGTCATTTTATACAATGAAGCTAGTAGTTATCATCTACTTTACTCGTTACAAAATATACTTAATCTTTTATACAGACAACTAATATAATTTGTTAGTCAAACTAGCCATTGCAATTAGATACACACTTAGTCTAATATGGGCCACAACCTGAAATTTTGACTCAACCTTTAGCGAAGGCATAATGTCAACCTCAATGTTGTTGACTTTATACTTGTATTATGAGGAAATTAGACCAACTTAGCTCAAAAAGACTCAAAGTTGTTTACAAATGCCAATCAATATAAGGAAAATAAAATTCGTCCAATCAAACTCAGACCATGCTTAAGTTGTGAATAATTCAACTACAGAGTAATTTATGCTTAGTAAACTTTTAACAAATCTATTCAGAGTAGTCAATGCCATTATTAAGGTCTTGTTCGTTTCAACCAAAATTGATTAAGATTGACGCTTAATATTCCACTTAGATTAAACAGACTGCAGATAGTTTAAGACTTAAGTCCATAATTAGTTTATATATCGTCTTAGACGTACTCCTTACCCGAACTTATTACGGAGTAATCCAAGAATAGCGGGTACCTTCATCAAATCTTAAAACCTTAAAACTTTGCACAACTTCTTCAGATGTAACTCCCATTTGTGGGATTGAGCGAAATACTCGTACATGTACGGTGCATTCGGGTGTATATAACAATCTTTCAACAGCAAGCACAAGTGGCAGCAGCAGCATGAGTGATGAAGGTAGTACCATAATAGTACGGCAAAGTCAGAGTATGAGAATCGAGTTTCCCTTTACGCTTAAAGTGGGTCAGGTCTTTACTGGCTTTGGCGTTGGTTGTGGTCTTGGTATCGGCGTTGGTCGCCCCATCAATTTAGGTACTTTCTCTCTCCTCAATTCCTGATTTCACATTCTACTTATGGATTTGGGTAATTTGTTCAAACGCAAAAATGGCGAAAACCCACATCAATTACCACCTCAAAAACCCTGTAAACTTCTAATTTTGTGTTTTATTATTTTTTATTGCGAGTTAATGTACTAGTTTCTATGTTAGTTTATGTTGATTGCTAGATTTATTTTGTTTTCTGTACTAGTTTTGATAGTTTATGAATTAGCCCCATAAATTGTTATTTGTTTGAATTTTTTTGGTTATTTATAGAGTTATAATTGTGTATGAATGCCCTATTTTCAGAAATCAAATGGGTGACTGTTTATGTATGATTGTCCAGGAAAAAGGATAGCAGGAGCTTTAATGTTCCTCAAAATTTATGAAATGGCACTTAATTTTTTTAAATTTGAATTTGGAGCTATATGCTTTACTTGTTCTGTATGTATCTTTTTTGTTGTGTTAATGTAGAGATGTAGACATTTGTTGATCTTGTTAATGGAGCTTCAGGATGACTATTAGACATTGGGGTTTGTAGACATGCTCATTGCTACTTATTGGTTGAACAGGAATTTTGCGGAGGGTCCATTTGCCCCTTCATGTATCGTGCTTTGTGTTGGTCAATTTCGAAGGATGGCTATAACTTGCTTGACGAGATATGCATACATTGTTGGAATTTTTCGACCTTCAAGTCATGATATATTTCTTTCAATTCTTTGCCTCGATTGTTGTCTGGAGTTGCCGGGCTTAATGGCATTAAGGTTGTGTAATGACCTTGCCATTAGTGAGATCCAAAGGGTGGATTTTAGGGTCTAGAGTTGAAGCTGTTACCTTTATAGGAAGAAGAAGCAAGTCTGAGTGCAGTCAAAAGTTACCCATATATGAAAGAATCAGATTTTAAGTGTGCACAATCTAGGAGATTTTCCACCCAATTGCTAGGAAGGATCCAGCCATTCATGCAAGCTATTCCATTCAGGCGAAGCTTGGGTCTTGATCCTACCACTATCATACTTTAATTGGTTTGGGCTATATGATATTTGAGCCATTGAGGTTAGGCTAGATTTTTGCTTTGTTGTATAGGTTGCTCTTGGGCTTTCGACGATAATCTGTTTGACTGCTTACTTTTTTTACCGTAGTTAGACTAGTTACATGTAGTGATGTACGAAATATGTATTCTTGGAATTTGGCTTCTCTATTTTTTTCTTTCTTTCTCCACTACAGTGTATTTACACTTTCATTTACTTAAGCCATAATCAGTGGCGGACCCAGGAATTTCCGACTGGTGAGTCACAATCGTTAACCAAATACGTAAGAAAAATTTTGACAACATGACAAGCTTAGCTCTCTAATAATTGACAAGATTAAAATCTATACAAGCATTAGGGTGTATTGACAATTTGACAGACATAATTGACTATATCATTAGGGTGGGTCGACTATATCATAAGCAATCGTCTGAATCGCCAATCAAATCAGCACATATGCAAAACCCCATATAAATCTACTAAAGCCAATGGTGTATTGACAATTTGACAGACATAATTGACATCAATAAACACCCTAAATAAACACTGACTACAATTCACATGGTCAAAAAGATTCAAATTTCATCAAAAACCCAGCAACATTAACAAGAGGTTCAAAGTTTACCAAACAAACAACAACAAAATCAACCAAAGAAAATAATTTTTTTTTTTTTTTTTTTTTTTTAAAAAAAAACTTAGAATTTTTTTTTGGGCACTAATCCAGTTGTTTTGAAGCAGTAAATAGTGTTCATATCATTATGCAGTTTTCAGATCATTTTATTGATCTGTGGAATGAGGTGCTATCCCTATGCTGAACCAAGTTATGAGTGCTGCTAGTGGTGCTACACAGGCTTTCTCTGGTATGTAATTTTTTCTCCTCTTCTTTAGTTTTCAATCGTTTCATTGTTTTTTTTTTTTTTTTTTTTTTTTTTTTTTTTTTTTTTTTTTTTAATATATATATATAAAAGAAACTGCTCCCCCAATAAGTTCTTATTTTCTTAAGATATATTCTCCTATCAATTCCTTTCTTCCCCTAACGTGCATGACAATTACCCCACTAATCCCATTATTATACAGTATAATTATATTTGAAATACTATTTAATTATATGATAAGTGATCATCCTTTACATTTGTGTTGCTATAAATCAAGCTCCAATTCCACATTCATTTTCAAAAAACCAAAAAAACTAAAAATTCAAACTTCTCCCTATTTCCTTAACACATCCTCTTTGTTTTTTTAGGTTGGTGTGTTGTGGTAAACCAACAATACCAAAAAAAAAAAAAAAAACCCTGACATCCAGGGATGGGTCTTTCACGCGTCACTCTTGCCCTTACTCTTATCATAGTCCTTGTGGGGTCTGCCTTTGCCCAAGGACCTGTTGTGGCCCCGAGCCAAGCCCCCACCACATTGTCCACACCTGTGGCATCCCCAGTAGAGGCTGCTGATGCCCCTATAGCCGAAACCCCAACCTTGGCTGCTATGCCTCCAACTGACGTTACCATGGACGGCCCCTCCTTGGCCCCGGCCCCGGCCCCGGGACCGGATGGTGATCAGTGATCACGATGGTCATGATCCATGATGGTGCTTTTCTTCATGGAAGCAGCTTGGCTCTCATGGCTGCCCTTGGAGCAGTTGCTGTCTTTGCCTAATTCACCAAATTACAAGCATGAGATTTTTCTATTTAACTCTTTTATTGTCATTTATTTACTAGTATAAAATTACATTATGCTCTTCAAATAAAAAAATTGTGTGGTTGTAGCAATTATTCGAGAATCATACTCGTTCCGGTGACCTTTTTAACACATGCTACGTACTCTCATCGTACGTATGTTATGGGTTGACTTTTGGTCATTATGTCTTTTCTTCAGCTATTTATTGAATTACTATATACGGAGTATTAAAGCTCCAATTTTCTACTTGTTTGTGTTATTTTTCGTATGGAGGACAACAATTTGTCCAATACAAATTCGTGTGGTAACATTGTTATGCTTTCTTGATTTTCATTCGTTTTTAAAGAGCTTATCATTTAACATTACCACGTAGTCAAAGTTATAAAATTTTGACAGTTTATCATATAAGTAGTAATTCGTACAAGTACTTCATAATTTTTTTTGTTTGGATTAATTAGAATACTTTATAATATGAAGTTTTCATATTTTTCACATCAAAGATGTTATCATCTTTTTGTAAATTAGGAGAATAATATTGAAATAAAATAGAAAATCAGCATATTGAGCTATAATTATTATTTCTAATTATTTAAGTACGTAGGTGTTATCTATGTGAACTTTCAATTGAGCTATGATGAATCTATTTTGGAGGTACTTTTATAGTAGCCTTTTTATGGTTTTGTTGATTAAAGACTCTTAAAAGAAAATTTTGGAATGAAAATTGTTTGAGTTGGGATTTCAATCAAACAACTGCATCCTCAAATAATTAATATTATATCGATCAAGACTCAAAGAGTACATAAAGTTGATCATAAATCAGATTCACGTGGGGCCGTGGGGGTGTTTTGTTGTAAAACTTGGAACATATAAGAAAATCGGGGCAAAAGAAAAAGAGGTTTGACTAGAGTAGACCTTAGAAGAAGAGTTTTATTGAGATAATGGAAAAGATTTGACTCCAAAATTAAATTTTTAAAAACGAAAAATTTTGGGTGAGACGGACTCACCATGAATTCCCCGTCCAAATACGATCACCGTGACTCATCAGAAATTGGAGTATAGAAAGATCGAAGCATACAGAAGCAGGATCGAAGAAGACGATCCAGATGATGATGATGATGAAGGTGCCGCGAAGAAGAAGATTCAAATGATGATGATGAAGGTTTTGCCATTGACATAAGAAGATCGAAGAACATGATCCAGATGATGATGACGAAGGTGCCACGGAGAAGATGATCCAAATGATGATGATGAAGGTGCCGCCATTAACATAAGCATGGTGAGTGATTCTTTGGCCATCGAAAATTCCGCCATTGATGCAACACCTTCATCTTGAGAAGAGAGAAAGAGGAGATGCGTTTATTGAGGAGAAGGTTGAGGGGAGAGAAAATCAAAGGAGAGTGTGGGGAAATAAGCCCTAAAAATATTAATGTCAGGCATTAGATTATTATTGTTTGGTATTAGATTATTATTGTCAGGTATTGCATTTTTATTGTTTGGTATTAGATTATTATTGTCAGATATTAGAATATCATTGTCAGATATTAGAATATTATTGTCAAATATATTGTACTCACAGTAAATTTGGTCTCACGCAAAACCTTTTCTTTTAAAAAGTTGGTTGTAAAAGCTTTTTGCATTTGACAATTCTATAATTGCGAGGAAAATTGACTATTATTTGATTTTCATCATAAAGTCAATAAAAAATCACTCTCTCAAATTATGTCATACCTTTATTGTCATTTATACGGCGAAGTAGGTATCAATTACTACTTTACTCATTATCAAATACACGAACGATTTCCCACAATATTGTTAAAATAAACATAAATTTTCTCTGTGTGTCAATTTTAAAACAAATTCCTCAAATACCGTCCACATAGGATTGGTGTTGGGTGTCAATTTTTTTTTTATTTTGTTTAGCTTAAAACCGCTAACGACAATAGCGGTTGTAGCTTTAAAACGCTATTGCAATTAGCGGTTTCAGCAAAAACACCGCCTTTTGCTATTTACAGGTCTCTTTGCCTCCTAACTCAATCCAGAGATTCCTTAGCCAAAAGCAGGAAAGAGAGCGCCAACATTAATATTGCTAAGTTCAAAGAGACCAGATTTCAGTGATAACCGGTCTCTTTGCCTTTTTTAAAAAAAAAAAGAAAAAAGAAATACAAAATCACTAATATTGTTAGCAATATTAAAATAAAACCATTGACGACATTAGCGGTTTTAAGCCAAATCAAATACTCCATCCGTGTTTAAATAAATGAAACGTTTTGACTTTCACGGAGTTTTAGGAAGGTTAGTTGAATGTATTAAAATAATAGATACTGGGGTATAAATTTGAGGAGAGAGAATAAAATAAGGGGTTTTGCGGGGACCATTAGTTAGTAAAATATTATTAAAAAGTTGAGAGAATATTATTAAAAAAATAGAGAAAAGCTACTAAAAAAGAAAATGTTTCATTTATTTAAACACGGCCGTAAAAGAAAAACGTTTCATTTATTTAAACACGGAGGAAGTACCAAATCTACATAGATGGTACTTTGGAAATTTGTTTTTCAATTGGTGCATAATGAAAATTTGTTTTTGTTTCAACATTATTGAGGGAAATCGCTCCCAAATATACTAGGTCTTTTATACAAACAACCAATATAATTAGATAGTCAAATTAGCCATCGCAATTAGATACTCTCTCTGTTTTTTTAAGTGTCTCATAATGACATTTCACATATGTCGATGCAAAACTTTAACCAATAATATCTTTAATTATCATCAACTACAGATTATAACAATTGAATATTAATAATCTACTCATTGAGATGATTCCAACAAGTACTCACAAGATTATAGTTTTTTCTTATGTATAATTCACAAACATTAGTCTAAATATGTTTAATGAATAATGCCAAAATCTTCTACGACATACTTAAAAAAAACAAGGGAGGAATCAGTTACCTAATATGGGCCGCAACCTGAAATTTTGACTCAACCCTTTAGCAAAGGCATAATGTCAATCTCAATGTTGTTGACTTTATGTTATGAGGCCGACTTAGCTCAAAAAGACTCAAATTTGTTTACAAATTGCCAATCAATATAAGGAAAATAAAATCTGTCCAATGAAACTCAGAGTCTCAGACCATGCTTAAACTAGTGTTCCATTCAACTACGGAATAATTTATGGTTAGTAAACTTAACAAAATTATTGGAGTGTATTTCAAACATAATTAAACATTAATGAACCTATACTAAGGTCTTGTTCTTTTCAACCAAGATTGGTTAACCCATACTTGACGCTTAATATTTCATTTAAATTAAGTGAATGGTTAAAGTTTATGATTGCTTTGTACTCCGTATACTTAGAGCTAGCTAACGAGTCCTGTTGTGTTGGGTTCGTGTTCGTGTCGATGTTAAACAAGTTGAAAAACTCTTGACCCAAACCTAACTCATTTATTAAACGGGTTGAAAACCTTTGATCCAAACCTAGCCCGCTTATTAAACGGGTTACCCGGGTAACATTTTATCCACATAGTATGAAATAAACTAATAAAAAATCAATTACAAAATTAAAAAGACATACATCATTATTCATTATAGATACATAAGAATTCAAAGCTAGTAGTTTTAGCAACACAACCATACATAAAATTGTCCCAAATTAACCGTCGAATTTTAATTTACAAAAGTTGAAATTTTTTAATTTCTTTGTCAAATTAACTGCCAAAAATTTACCAAAATGTACAAATGACGCTAAGTGAATTTACACAATTACAAGTTTTGAATAAAAAATCCAGTTTTTTTTTAACTACATAATTAATAGGTTAAGCGTGTCGGGTTTGGGTTAACGACATAATCGAGTTATGCGTGTTGGTTTCGAGTTGAAAATTTCAACCCAAACCTTATCCGTTTAATTTCGTGTCGACCCAATTATATAAGATGGTCGAGAATTCTTGACCTTAATCCGCTTATTTCGAGTCGGGTGCATATCGAATTATCTTGTCGTGCGTATACCTTTAACTGAACTTATTAATCCAAGAATAGCGGGTACCTTTATTAATCCTAAAACCTTCAACCTTTGCACACCCTCTTCTCATGTAACTCCCATTTGTGGGATTGAAAAAATGGAGAGCAGAGCTTCAACAGCAAGCACAAGTAGCAGCAGCAGCATAAGTGATGAAGGTAGTACCATAATAGTACGGCAAAGTCAGAGTATGAGAATCGAGTTTCCCTTTACGCTTAAAGTGGGTCAGGTCTTTACTGGCTTTGGCGTTGGTTGTGGTCTTGGTATCGGCGTTGGTCGCCCCATCAATTTAGGTACTTTCTCTCTTCTCAATTCCTGATTTCACATTCTACTTATGGATTTGGGTAATTTTTTCAAACGCAAAAATGGCGAAAACCCACATCAATTACCCCCTCAAAAACCCTGTAAACTTCTAATTTTGTGTTTTATTATTTTTTATTGCGAGTTAATGTACTAGTTTCTATGTTAGTTTATGTTGATTGCTAGATTTATTTTGTTTTCTGTACTAGTTTTGATAGTTTATGAATTAGCCCCATAAATTGTTATTTGTTTGAATTTTTTTGGTTATAATTGTGTTTGAATGCCCAAATTTCAGGGTTGTTTATGCATGATTGTCCTGGAAAAAGGATAGCAGGAGCTTTAATGTTCCTCAATATTCATGAAATGGAACTTAAATTTTTAAAATTTGAATATGGAGCTACTCCGTATATGTTTTACATGCTCTGTATATATCTTGTTTGTTGTGTCAATGTAGAGATGTAGACGTTTGTTGATCTTGCTAATGGAGCTTCAGGATGACTTTTAGATATTGGGGTTTGCAGACATGATAATTGCTACTTATTGGTTGAACGCAATTTTTGCGGAGGGTTTATTTGTCCCTTCGTGCATTGTGCTTTCTGTTGGTCAATTTTCGAAGGATGGCTGTATTTTGCTTGATGAGATATGCATACATTGTTGGACTTTTTCGACTTTCAGGTCATGATATATATCTTTCAATTCTTTGCCTTGATTGTTGTCTGGATTTGCCGGGGTTAATGGCATTAAGGTTTTGAAATGACCTTGCCATTTGTGAGATCCAATTGGGTGGGTTTTGTGGTCTAGAGGTGAAGATATTACCTTTATAGAAACAAGTCTGAGTGCAGTCAAAGTTACCCATGAAGCAATCACATTTTAAATGCGCACGATCTAGGAGATTTTCCACCCAATAGCTAGTTCAGTTGGTAGAAACTAGGAAGGATCCCACCATTCATCCAAGTTATTCCATTCAGGCAAAGCTTGGGTCTTGATCCTACCACTATCATATTTTAATTGGTTTGGGCTTTATGATATTTGAGCCATTGAGGTTAGGCTAGATTTTTGCTTTGTTGTATAGGTTTTTCTTGGACTTTGGACAATAATCTGTTTAACTGCTTACTTTTTTTTTTAATTACCGTAGTTACATGTAGTGATATACGAAATATGTATTCTAGGAGGTTTGGCTTCTCTCTTTTTTTCTTTCTTCTTCCACTACAGTGTATTTACATTTTCATTAACTTAAGCCACAATTCAGTTGTTTTGAAGCAGTAAAAATTGTTCGTATCATTCTGCAGTTTTCAACTCATTTTTTTGATCTGTGAAATGAGTTTCTATAAAGACTGCTAATCAATTGACCACTTTTGTTAGGTGCTATCCCTATGCTGAACCAAGTTATGAGTGCTGCTAGTGGTGCTACACAGGCTTTCTCTGGTATTGGAAGACATGTGAACCATTCCGTATGTAGTTTTTCTCCTCTTTTTTAGCTTTCATTGACGATTTCTTTTTTTAATTTTAATTTTTTATTTATCATCTGATATGTTACAGTGACTTGCAAGTCATTTTCGATTTGATCACAAATTTCCTTTTTTTTTCAGTTGAAGAAGATAGGTGCAAAGAACATTGAGGCTGGCATAGGATGTGGAGTTGGTTTTGGTCATGGTTTTGGAGCTGGTAAGTCACTTGCTATGAAAGTATAGGTAAAAAAGCACTTTACAAGCTTGCTGCTGATTTGGTTTGGTGAAACTATATATAAGATGTAGTGTAGGGTGTATAGTTGAACTTAATGGCGAAAGAAATCTAGGAGCAAAATACTTTTTTTTTTTTTAATAATCTGAGACTGCTGTTGGTGACATTATTGAAAATTTGAAAACCATTTTATTATGTATTTTGTTCCTTAGTAGCTAAAATTATTATGTGATTAAGATGGCCAGTCATCCTTATTGAAACCAGTTTTAGCTTAGTCGCTAATTAGCTTAATATATACTTCCTCTGTTTTATTTTATTCATTTATTGCAACATTCTATAGTATACACTATTCACTACTCCACTTTTATTACACTTTGTGATTTATTAAGAAAAATTTAGTCATATGGGATTTTGTTAGATATGTCTCAAGTGTAGTTTATTAACTTTTAATCTTATAATTTTTACAAATGCATAATTAAAGATATTAATGATACATTGGAAAACGTGAAAACAAAAATGTTTCAAGTAAACAAAAAAAAAGAGGAAGTACAATGTACTTGTACCTTTTTGTTCGTGATATCGTAGCTGTTCCTGTAGACTCTTTAACTTTCTTGGGGTGTATTTTCTTTTGCTTTCAATTTCTATATGGTAACAGAAAGACCTGGGAGAATGGCAACAGGCAGCATGAACTCATATCATTAAGAAGTAATGATATGCTAAATAGGGATGAAGAAATGTTGAAGTCAGTGTCTCCGTGACAATGTGTCACGGTCCGAAAAGTTTGGCTTGAGGCCGTGCGACGCACACTCGTCAAAGGGGCAACGAGGGTGCAAGCCAAGAGTCTTGAGTGTTACGAGGTTAGTAGCAACACGATTGAGAAGACGTCTTTGGGGTTCACTTTTGTCTATTGGGAAGCAAGACTGAGAGCAAGGGTCAGTCAAGGCTTGTGACAAGCGGATCCGACGACAAGTGTATCTTTTGGAGGGTCTCTAAGGGGCGCTTTGAGAGTTTAAATAAACACAAGATTCAAAGCAGGTAGGAGCCTGTTGAGTTCATTGATCACTTGCTCTCTAAAGAGTTTTAAATAGAATTTACAATGGAAATCTAGTGAACACTAGATTGACAACAACACAATAATTCTACTTAAAGCCTAGAAAAACTTATAGAAAAGCCTAGGAAACATAACATAAGCAAAATACAAGTAAAAAGAAGGAAAATGCATAAGAAGAGAGGTGGATTCTAACATCTTCCTCCACTTAAGCCGTCGACGTCCTCGTCGACTTACAAATCATATACTTAAAAGAAAAGAAAAGAAATAGTAGCTTCAATCCTCTGTTGCAGGCGTGGCTCTTGTCCTTGTTCTGATGTTGGCGCGGTTGCTGATGTTACGGTTGTCTTCAGGATCTTTGGTAGGGTTTAAGACGACTAACGTGGAAGACGGAGTGTATCTTCATCCACGCAGGTGGCTTGTAAGCATTCTTCCCAATCCGTTTAGTGATGCGGATAAGGCCTTTATATTTTTGTATCAATCGACGATTTCTTCCGAGAAATTTCGGCTATTCTCGTAGTACCTTCACCATCACCTTGTCCCCAACTGCGAAGTCCACCAGCCTTCTGTTTTGATCTGCCCATTTCTTCAGGTAGGCTCTAGCAATTTCAGTGTTTTGCTTCCATCTCGAGGAGCGCTTCTCCCTCCTTCCAAATCCGCCACAGTGTGAGGAAGAAGAGGTTGTTGCCCCATAATCAACTCAAAGGGGCTTTTGTTGGAAGAGGAGCTCTTTTGAGCGTTTGAAGCAAAGTTGTGCTACATCTAGAAGCCTCACCCAATCCTTCTGGTTGGCACTTACATAATGCCGCAAGTATTCTTCAAGCAATCCATTAAATCTCTTTGTTTGTCCATCGGATTGTGGATGGTGGCTGAGGTCAGAACCCATCATATGAAATAGCTCGGACCAAAATATGCTCGTAAACTTGGTTTGGCAACCCCCAATACTTCACTAGGTGTTTGAAGAAAAGCGATGTCGTCTCTTCCGCTCCGCAGGCCTTTTGCATGGGTACGAACATGGCATATTTGAAAAACTTATCTATCACCACCATGATAGAGGAGAACTGATTTACTTTCGGGAAGCCACTAATGAAGTTCATGGAATGTAGCTCATGACATCCTCCTTCATTCTTGGTCTTCCCTTCTTCGATCATCTTCATTATTGTTTTTGTCATCAGATCATCTTGTAGGTAAGCTCGTACTTGATCCCTCACAGATGTAGCAATGCTGCTCGCAGTCATCAGAGCGAGCTTGTGAATTGATGCAGGGCATCGGGTACTCGGTTGCTTGACCCTGTTTTGTAAGTGAACTCCACATCAAAGTCAGCAAGTACCTCTTGCCACCAAGCTTGTCTCCCCGTCAGTTTAGGTTGAGAGAGAAAGTGGCTTGCCGCGGTGTTATCATAACAAGTAGTGTCTCCATCCTCTAAGGCGGTGCACAATTACTAGCAATTCCTTCACTTGTGCCGCATACCTCCTCGACATCATTTAACTTCCTACTTTCAAATGCAATAGGGTGTTCTTCTTAGAGAAGTACTCCTCCTAATGCAAAGTCCGACGCATCACCATAAATGGTTTGTTGATGTCAGGAAGAGCAACGACCGACTCTTTCATCACTGCCTCCTTGAGCTTTTGGAAAGCTTCTTGTTGTGGTCCTGACCATTCCTAGTGACTTTCTTTTCGCAATAGGTCGGTGAGAGGACTTGCAATCTTTGAGTAACCCTTTATAAATCGCCGATAGTAGTTTGCCGATTTCAGAAAAGATCGCAATTTAGAGGTGTTTTTAGGGTCTTGCAGTCACGAACATCATGTATCTTCTTTGGGTCCATTTTCAATTAACCCTTTCCCACGAAATGTCCAAGAAATCCGACTTCTTCCCGGGCTTTAAGAATAAGTGATGTTTTCTTAATTTCTCAAAGACCATCTTCAAGTGATTGAGGTGTTCTTCAAAAAGTCTTACTATAGATCACAATATCATCTAGGTATACAACAACAAATTTGTCCAAGTATTCGCGGAACACCTAGTTCATCAGGAGGTGGCGGGTCCATTCGTCAACCCGAAAGGCATAACTAGCCATTCAAATGCCCCATATCCTCGTCGCACAAGTTGTCTTCAGTTCATCCCCATCAGCAATGCAGACTTGGCAATAGCCGGACTTCAAGTCTAGCTTGGTGAAGTATACTGCATCCCCTAACTTGTCGAACAAATCTGCCACCAAAAGAATGGGGTAATGATTACGCACCGCTACTTCGTTTAATGCTCGATAATCGATGCATAATCGGAGACTCCCATCTTGTTTCTTCTTAAAGAGTACGGGTGCCCCATAAGGAGCCTTGGAGGGGCGGATGAAACTTGCTTCTAGAAGGTCCTCTAGTTGTCTCTAGGGGGAGCCGTGCGAGAGGGGCTTTCGCCCTAGGCACGAGCTCGTTCTCATGGTCCACTGCCCTCCTAGGCGGAAGCACTTTTGGTAGTTCTTCCGGGAGAAGGTCCTCAAAAGTGTTGGAGGGAGATCCCCATTTGCTTCATCTTCCTTAGTGGAAAGAGTTGCGAATGTGGGCTCGTTCCTCTTCAATCCCTTGTCCAATTGCATTCCCGAAAGAAGGGGGCCCTTTGACCCTTTTCTCTATTGCAAGCTTTGAGGAGGCACGGTTGCTGCTTAGCCACTAATATTGATCTGAGGTGTGGCATCGGAATGACCTTACTTGCATGTAGGAAGTCTACCGAGCACCAAGCTAAAATCATCCATGGTAGCTACTGTAAAGTCCAATTATCCGCTTCAATCCCCTAACTTCGTCAACACCTTCTTGACGACGCCGTGGATGAGTTTGGAAATTGAGTTCACCGCTTTCATGCTACCCCCTTTTCTTAAGAGTTTCAACCCCAGTCTTTTTGCCTCCTCTTCTGAAATGAAGTTGTGGGTGGCGCCCGTGTCTACCATTGCTCGGGCTTTCTTTCCATCGATCAACACATCTAAATACATCAGTTTAGTATTCCTGGGTTGGCCCTAAGGTGCCTCTCTCACCATAGCATACATCATATGCCCTAGACCCTGGGAGGTTCCTCTTCACTAGGTTCTGCTTCATCAGTTTCTTCGGGTTGTGCCACTTCTACTGACATAGAGGACAATTTCTTATAGAGATTGTCAATTTCTCCTTTCTGTCGACACTCAAACCACTTATGAGGTCCTCGACAAAGGATGCAAATCAAGAGTCTGGCTGCCAATGATGATCCATTGGTGCTTCCTATACTGGAGAAGGAGGAAGCCCCATTCTTCTTGGAGTCTTCTCCCCCACTCTTGTTGTATTTATTGTTCAAGTTGTTGGAGCTAACTTGGGAGCTATATGTTGAGTTTTTAGGAGGGTTTAGTGTTGGGCCACTATTCCCCTTCTTCTGATTTTTCCCTTTCTCTAACGAGTAATCCAGCTGCCCCAGACAGAGTGTCGATTTTCAGGCGCCAAATCTCCCTGTGTGCCCTATCTTTCAATCCCCGCACAAAGTTGAACAGGCGATTCTTCTCGGACATGTTGTGGATCTCCAACATGCACGTGGAGTATTCTTTCACGTACTCCCGAATGGGGCTCTTGTGCTGAAGGGTTGCCGGTTTTGTGTAGGCCACAAATTCAGTGTTCTCCGGGTAGAATTGTTCCATGAGTTCTTTCTTTAGGTCCTCCTAAGTATCAACCAACATTCTTTCTACTTGGATGTCGGCATACTTGGTTCGCCACCAGAGTTTCGCATCGTTTACCAAGTACATTGTGGCAGTATCGACCTTCAACTCTTCTTCTAGTTGACAAATTCAGAAATATTGTTCCATGTCAAAGATGAAGTTGTCAGCTTCTTTTGAATCTCTCGCACTATTGAAGGTGTGAGGCTTAAAGGGTTTTATCTCAGCACCTCCAATGGGCACGCATCAAGGTAGCACATTTGTCTAAGTGCTTCGTTAGCCAACCCTTGCACATAGTTGAGGTGTTCCATCAATCCCTCCACAGTCGTCTCAAGCTTCTCCACCTAATCGGCTTGCTTTATCACAATATCTATGAGTTTGGGCATCCTTTCTTCAAGCATGGCCCAATATTCCGACTTGCCTTCAAGACAGGCAATTTGTTCTTCCCACGTATCCCAATGTTTAGGCATCTCCATGTCCAATGTCTCTAGAGCGAGCCTCAGCTCTGATACCAACTGTTACAGTCCGAAAAGTTTGGCTCGGGGCCGTGCGGCGCACACTTGTCAAAGGAGCAACAAGGGTGCAAGCCAAGAGTCTTGAGTGTTACGAGGCTAGTAGCAACACGATTGAGAAGACGTCTTTGGGGTTCACTCTTGTCTATTGGGAAGCAAGAGTGAGAGCGAGGGTCGGTCGGGGCTTGTGAGGACCGATTAAGTCAAAGTGCTCACAAGCGGGTCCGACGACAAGTGTATCTTTTGGAGGGTCTTTAGGGGGCGCTTTGAGATCTGCAAGCACTAGTATTAAGAGTTTAAACAACAACAAGATTCAAAGCAGGTAAAAGCCTTTTGAGTTCATTGATCACTCGCTCCCTAAAGAGCTTTAAATAAAATTTACAATGGAAATCTAGTGAACACTAGATTGACAGTAACACAATAATTCTACTTAAAGCCTAGAAAAACTTAAAGAAAAGCCTAGGAAACATAACATAAGCAAAATACAAGTAAAAAGAAGGAAAATACATAAGAAGAGAGGTGAATTTTAACACAATGGCATATATCTATGAAAACAAGATGCAATATAGGCTGACCTAGTTGAAGAAAATAGCTAGAAAATTGATTGATCCCTTCCTAGTGCATTTTCTCAACTGGGGAGTAGTGTCTATTGAGGACATAATTTGGCTCGATTGGAGTAGCCACAAGACCTTGAAAGTAGAAATTGATACACTCGCTATGTCTTATGTACATCATGTAAAGTGATTTTCCATTCTGTCTTCATTCTAACAATTGTAATTGGGGATAAGGTTGTTGGTTTCCAAGGCATTAAGGTAGCAAATTTCCCTGTTTAGGACCTTTTAGCCTTTTTTCTGAAGGAACAATGTGCCTGTAGAACTGATCTCTGGTAAGCTGGAATCAGGGCTGCAAGGTCAGTCAATAGAGATTGTAGGTAAAATTGGTAAAAGGACGATCTAACTGATTCAAAAGAGAGTTTATTATGTCAGTGTAGTGAGACTCCAATCATTTAAACTGTAATTTTATGAGATTTATTTAAAATGTTATTATCTACTTTCTGCTATGCTTCAAAGACCCATAAAACATACATTTTTTTTGCTGATATCTATATGCCTCCTGTAGTTCTGTTTCTGAAATCTGGACTTTGGGAAAGGGGATTTGGTGTATGCTAATGGTTTCAGTGGACTGGTTAAATCAGCTAGTAAGAAATAGAAACAACTAAAAAACTTTGAGCTTTGCCTTCTGGTGCTTCAGTGTTACCTGTTAATGTATCAACTTGCACCTGTGCAGGTCTTGCTCTGAAGCCGGGAGTGGTCCAACGAATCCAGTTTTCCATGATAGTATGTATTGATTTTGCTATAATCTCTTAAGCTCTCTATGACTCTGTGTAAAGGTTTAATATTTGAAATTACTAGGAATTAGTGAGCAAAATGATGATGAAATTTGGAGTAGCCCCTGATTTATCTATTGGGCAAGGTCTTCTCCCTGCATCTGTGCAAAGTAGTATGACTGCCATTCAAGGTTCAGCTCGAGATCCTATGGAAAGTATTGCACAATTTGGAAAGAAGATACCAGGCGTGAATAACCAAGATCCAGCAGGAGATGGAAAAGTGAATTTAGGGATTGAAAGGTTTGGATCAGAAGATGTGCCTTCAAAATTACCCTTGAAAAATCGAACTGAGAAGCTTATCAATGGCTTTCTGAAAGATCCACTTTTGAGTGGAGAGAATTCTGAGCTACATGACAGGGTATGTATGTTTAGGAAGATTATATGCTAGTACATAATTACCTACTTCCCTATACAGAGTTCTCTATCACTATGTTATGATGTCCCTAAAAAAATGTTCCATTTTGAATTTCAAGGTAATAAAGTTTATGTTTCCAAATGGAATCAAATATGCCTTTCTACTGGTTGATTGTTTGATTAAAACATGTTCAAGGTTAAAAATATTTGGTAGCGATAGTGTATATACTTCTGTATTGGCTTTGCATTACACTGCTGAATTCCATTGGCTGGTTACTCTTGATTGTGTATTCCATCTACAAATAGTATATTATGGCTCCCACGATTTCCAATAGAAAAGTCATCAAGCTATAACTTGTTTTCTCCCAGTCTGCTGAGCTGATATGTGTTTAGTAGTTGATATGACGTTACAATTGTGAATGACATGAAGTGCTGCTAGGGCAGCAGTGACTTAGGTTCCTCTCTTTAGGGAACTGCGGAGTTCTACTAGCATGAACTTGCTTAGATGAGTTAAGTCTTGTAAGATGTAGTCAGTTGAAAACCTTTAATTATGGTCTGGTTAAAGCTTCTGTGTTTGAGTTTCATCTGTTATATTTTTTTTTTTTAATTTTTTGTATAACATAAATATCATTCAATATTTCAATGTTTTCGAAGTTCATACTAATCATATTGGATAGCTCCTGCAGGATGAACAGCTGGAATCAGAAAACAGGATGCTTCGAATGGTCGGTTCTGTTGTTAATCTTTGTGCGATCAATAATCATTTTCAAAATTGTACATATATATATATATACATGGTGAATGAACTAAATATAAGCAAATGAATATAATCACTTAGCCAACCAATTGCAAATCCAAAAAAATGTGAACAAAAAAATATAGTACTTAGTAAAAGATGGTTGTTTTTAAGCAGTACATATCAGCTTGGTAACAACTACAAGAAACTAAATCTTTCCTCTTTTGATCAGGTTGTCAAACATCAGCAAGTCATTGAGGAGCTTATGGAAGAGAATGAAAGACTTCGTCAAGTATTGGTTGAAGACTTGAAAGTTCCATCTAGTAAACTCCAAGTTAGACATTCTGTTAGAAACGAGTCTCCCTGTTCTGATTGTTTCAAATGTAGAAGAAAACAACGGAGGAGATAGAAATTTCATGGTGAATAGGTGATCAATATGCATAAAATCAGTTTCAACTTAGGTTTAGCAATTAACCTTTTGAGTTCTTCATTTGTATCAGGTTCCTTACCTTTTTTGTGTGTTCATGTTCCTGAAACTGTTGATCTTGGTACGTGTATCAGCATTTAGTACAATATACACACTATAATTGGAGATCATAGAGAAACAAATTAACATCACAGTACACCAAATGAGAGAGAAGGGCATACCTTTTTTTTTTTTTTTTTAACATCTAAGTCTAAGCCTTACATTTGGTACTCTGCAATTTATTTTATGTTATGTAGTCTAACAATAGCATATCTTCACTCTAATTCTTGTGATTCCATCTTATCTAATCATGTTGGCATCCTATAGCTAACTGGTGCTGCATTACTTCATACACCATGAATAAAATGTGATGAGATTTGGTTACTCGTGTTGGGTATTACCCCAAGAGTTTACTTGTAGCATAGCATAAAGCTCGAATTTACACAAATTGCATCTATTTATTAGAGTGCATATCAGCGCATAGCACTTATTGACAAATGAAGTGTATAGGAGAGTAGAAGTGTAATTTACCAGGCATTAGAAAACTTGAAAGTAGTACTTACTTGAAAGCGTAATACTCCGAAAATGTACCACTGAAATCACATTGGTACATTTAATCAAAATAGTACGTAAGTTTTGTACTTTGAATTGTACCACTAAAAAACCAATGTCATCCTATACACTTTTTAAGCACATAGGTGCTATGTGCCAATGCTTTTCCTATTTATTAAATGTTTACGAGCTATAAATTGATAAGATTGATTGGGACCGTGTCCTCCATGATAAGACGTATATGAACCTTGGAAACCTGGTCTAATACAATATTTATTGGGTTTACATTATTGTTAATACAGAATAAATTCAAGACTTTATTGTACACCCGAATGTGAACCCCTTTCGTGCGTCATCTTATAGTACAAAAAAGTAAGACGCGTGAACATGGAAACCATAAGTAGGCCAAAGGTCTATTAATGAGATTATGAGACTTGGAAAATTAGAACCATCAAGTTATCAGGAGCATTTAAAAAATCCGTAGATGGGATCAACAACGCATGAATTACAGCACTTGGCGTAGGGTTCACAAGGATAGCCTTTTCGTATACATGCCTCTTTCTTCATCTCAGTGTCTACAAGTTGATCTTGTAGTATGCCACCTTCTTTTGTGTTTAGAACCACTTGGTTAACCCTATCTCTTCCTTTGGCCGGCTCTGTCGCTTTCATGCTATGGACTCTCTGCCCACTGGTTGTTTCCGATATTCTTGCATATACCGGACCTATATTAGCATAGCAAACCTCGATTATTTTTGGTTAATTAGTTGTTATAGTCTATAGATTAATTGACAAGCAATGAGGACATTATTCTAGCTTAGTGATTAAGACTAAGGACATATGTACGATTAATTACACGTTTGAGTCCCCGGCCTCCCTCATTTGTAGTGCAAAATTTAGTCAAAAAAGAACAGCAAGATTCTTATATACTAACTTGCGTCATTTATGAGGATACAAATATGCTTTATAGAATAAAAGTAGCTAACCCTCAACTTTAAGCTGTTAATACTTACCTTTTGGTTGTGGTTGTAGTTTATACTTCATAGTATACATGTCATAATTCAAGTTAATTAGCAGTATAGCCGGTAGGTTATTAATCGACCTCTAATCGATGTTATTTGGACGGAATGTAGTGTTAATTATGATTATGGACAAGAAACCAAAAGAAAAAGTTAAACGTAGATGAGTGAAATGCATATATGAACTATGAAGTACAATTAAAGAAATGAAAATTAACCTGTTGTAGCAATTATCACAAGAATAAGTAGGATGATTAGCTTGATGCAATTGAACAAAACTCTCTCCATTAACAATAATTTTGGTGGTTATAATTAGCTATCAAGTCGGTATTAAGATCTTTGATTATTGATAGCTCAGTGACTGATTTTCTACTTCAATTTTTAGCATGTCATGATCTCTATTTATAGCCTAATAGTTAGTTGTCTGTGATAATAAATATAAATTATATCGTGAATGAGAGCTATTATTGATAATAATTTTGTAAAGCGTGGTGGAAATTTGAAAATGAAAAGTCGTTATTGGGGTCCTTTGGCCAATAGCAAAAAGTGGTTAATTATCCATCACATAATAAATAATTGAATAAATATGGATTATATTGGCCAATAGGTGAACTATATAATTAAAGCAAATGTTTCTTGCTAACGAACGTCCCTGAGGCGTTAGATAAGCATTTAAAATATTATCAAAAGTGGTATTAATTTGGGAATGCATGACAAATTCACACGTCGATCGGTGTAATTAATGTTCATTTTAATTTAATCTTTCTACTTTTGCATATCTTATCCAACGCTCCCGGGGACGTTCGTTAGCTTTTGTCATGTTATAAAGCCTTAAAGTATATGTGTAAGGAGTTAAAAGTGGTAGTAATAACCAATAAGTGAAATACAACATTAATTACATTAATCGACACATGATTTTATCACATTTATAAATTAATACTACTTTGTATAAAGTTAGGAGATATACTAAATGCTTATTTGTAGCCTTATTGCTCATTCTAGCATCAAGCATTTTGAAGTTTTATTGCTTAATTTCTAACCCTATATTGTTGAGGGTAGCATGTGATGAATGCCAAGATGTAGGAAGCGAGGGGCAAATAAATGGTGAGATCCGTCGAGATGATTAAGAGCTACAATGTGATCATACATGTGAAGATGACATAATATTAGACAACCAACAATCTTAGAGAGCTAAGATGGAAGAGTGTTGGAAGCATAGCGTTTTTAAACAACACATGTAAGTATTTCATATTGATAAAAGGAAGAGAGAGTCAAACAACTCAAGATAAAGCTAAGGGACTACTCCTGGGTCTCCTGCAATTGTCATATGATTTTGGGATGAAACCTGTTTGAACTTATGAAGTGGACTCTCTCTCTTGATGATGGGTGCAGCCCAGACCTGTATTTAATTGAAACTAATATATGCAATCACGGGCCTGGAGGTGGTTTAATTTGGTGCTTGAACAAGCAGGTGTTGAATAATGTAGCTTGATGATGTGGGTGCAAGCCTTCAAATGATAATGTACGGTGTTCTTGAAGATGAGTATATCAGTTCTATTTCTACCATTATTATGATATTACATATTCCATCCCGATTGGATACCAAAAACGAAACAAATGCGGGTCGATGACTAAAAATGAAAAAAAAGAAAGCATTTATTCACTCAAACAAGCATGAAACGCATGCTTTCATATTCGTCCATAGGTCTAATTTAAATAAAGCATTTTTTTTTTTTTTTTTTGAAAAATTTGGTGACAAGAAATACAGTGGATTTCCTACTATTGTTTCTAGTATGGAACGAGTCAAAGACTCCGACAAAAGATACAAACAAAGTAACAAGTTGATTGACCAAACAGAAGGTTGACGTAAACATGTATGCCAGATTTGCCCTCGATTGCGCCCGAAATTACAACCAAGACCACTCCTTCAAGGGCATCACAAGAAATCCAATGTGAAGCATCAATTGGCCCATTTCCTCTTTGAAAAGCAACATCATTAATTCTCAAATCTTCCCAACTAGAAGAATTAAGCTCATATTTCAAGTCTTTGGGTGATGTAAAATTGGCTTGTCTTGTAAAAATCTCAACTTCGGAATTTCCATTTGGGTCTTTGGTAATTAGAGTGAATGGTGAACCCAATTTGTTACCAAATATGTTCTCTACCTTCTCTAAGCAGTGTAGCACAAAATACTTGCAAATTTCATCTCCTAAATGTTTTGTTTCTTCGATTGAAATGTTGAATATCATGGTTTTGGAAGTTTTTCTTCTAGTATTGCTTGAGTCATGTATTGTACCATATTCGTGTTCAGAGCACCCGAATTTGAAATTAGAGGAGTAGATACACGAGAGTGTTTTCGACATTTCACTTCCATAGATCATGCTCATATGAATTTTTGCCAATTTGTTGAGAAACTTTGCCATGTACAAAGGGTCAGTCAAGAGAAGGCTACAACTTATCCACCACATTTGAATTTGGTCATCTATACCAAGAAAATAGATTAGAAATAAGAACCTAAAAAATACTCGTACTGTAATTCAAGTACTAGTACCAAATAATATATAAAAAGCTTGTACTTTTTGAACTACACTAGTAAATGAATTATCTCTACATTATTACCTTAAAAATAAAAAATAAAACAGCAATCTAGTACATAATTTAAAATAGATACTCCGTATTAATAGAGATGATCGAGCATTAGTACCATTATTATGATAATGGAAGCTACATTATTAGTTATAATTGATTTATAAATTATAATCATACGTGTATTGAACATTATTACCCTCTTCTAACAAATGAAATAGAATGATAATATCGTCTCAATAAGTTAATAACAATTATATTGTACTCCCAATTCTTCACAATTTAAGAGAATCTTTTAAATTATTTCAAAGATAACGTATTAATAGAATGTTTAGATCTAATCACTTCATAGATCAGATCTTAAAACATTTGTCAATTCGCTCGAGATCATCTATAATTCTTTCATGTAAAGATGAAACATGTAGATAATAGTGTGCATGTAATATAAATTACCTGAATGTAGAAGAGTGGAGAACATATAGGATTAGATTCATCTAGGGGTGAAAGTTCGGTATTCGGTTTGGATTATACCCCAAACCGAATCCAAACCGAATTATTTCGGTTTTGGATTTTTGAAACCGAATCCAAACCGAATTTGGATTCAATCCAATCCAATCCAAACCGAAATAATTCGGTTTTGGATATTGAATCCAAACCGAACCGAATTTCTTTGGGCTTGTTTTTTTGGGCCTTGAATTCTAGGCTGTTATTGGACAAATAGTTTTGGGCCTTTTAAAGACCTAATTTTTGTACCTGTTCCTGAACAAAACATAAATTTTTAGACAAAGCTTCCACCACCACAATTAATGTCACGAATTACAACACTTAAGTTTGTCCAGCCAAAATAAAAATTACAGACAGTCAAACACAACAGTAATCTTAAACATAAAATGACAGTATGGCAGATTGGCAGCAGCTTCATTCAAATCTGGCATTAGCTTCTTCTTCTTGGCAGCGTACTCTTCATGCATTCAATCAAGCTCAACCAAGTTTGGGTTGATTGGATCAGTAATTTTCATATTCTTCAAGTCTAACATTCAAAAAATAAACAAGTTACATAATACATATGACATAATGAAAAAAAAAACACATGATAATTAATCATTATACTACAAAAATAAGGCTCATAAAGTAATGAATCTATCAAAAATAACATAAGTACTCACCAATTTGAACATAACAGAACAAAACATCACTATAAAGATTGAACAAAACATCACCAATTTGAATGGAATCAATTCGAACATAATAACCCAGAGATAAATCAAAATTCCCAATTTGAACATAATAAATTAATAACTCAATTTCACAATTCGAACATAATAAATTAATTTCCCAGAAATAACTCAAAATTCCTAATTCGAACATAATTCAAATTCCCAATTCAAAAAAACAAATGAAAGAGGAGTAAATAAAAAAATCCTTACCTTTGAGTGACTGAGAGAGGTGGTGGCGATAGAAGGTGGTGGCGCGTCGCGGATTGAGGGAGTACGAAGTCTACGAACACCAGATATGAAGAAAGGAACTGATATTCGACCAAGGAGACAATATACGGTGGCCGGAGTGAGATACGATGGTCGGAGTGAAGGAAATGAAGGGTTTTGGTGAGGAAGTAGAGGAATTGAGGAGTGAAGGTGGCCGAAAGTCAGAAAAATGAAGGAGAAAATTAGGGTTTGCTATATATATGTAGGGGAATTGGGCTGGAATCTATATGGGCTTTAAACATTTCGGTTTGGATTTCGGTTTTCGGTTTTTTAGGACCAGAACCGAATCCAAACCGAAATAATTCGGTTTCAGGATTTTGGAACCGAATCCAAACCGAAAACCGAAAAAACCGAACCGAATTTCTAGTTCAGTTTGGTTTGGATCGGTTTTCGGTTTTTATCCAAACTACTTTCACCCCTAGATTCATCAACATTTTTCCAATAAAGCAATTTGCCTTCAACTTCATTCTTCTTCTCCTTGGACAATTCAAGAAAATGTACCAAACTTAGTGAAATTTGTACATCAATACATCTAATTCCACTATCATTAGACACAATATTTAAATCTCCATTATTATTTTCAGATTTTCGAAGTCTTCCTGCCAAAATAGGGTGCTCTAACAAGGCCTTTCCTAGGGACTCCTTGATCCATCCCTTAGCATGCAACCCATTATCTTCACTATCACTTTGCTTTTTGTAGCAAAGCACGGTATGCATCCATTTTTGCAAAACTCTTTGATGATGATCGTTGTTTGAGACCGATATCTTGTATGATAATCGTGGCTCGGTTGTCTTCATTGGTGATGTTGAGTAAGCACATTCGATGTCCATGGATGTTGCCATCTTTATGCACCTAATAGTAATGTTTTTTATAGCTTGGTGTATTATTATATATCTGTCCTTTATATGTAGGAAATATGTAGTTTAAGGCTCCAAGGAAGTGAACAAAGAAAGTACAAGTATATATAGATATTCTAGCGTGGTAAGATCCACTGCCTTGAAAACAATATTTGGTGTGACTTGAGTGTGTTGCATCATTATATTCACCTATACGTTCCCTTAGGTTAAACACAACGCTTTCACTGAACTAATATAGTCGTATTAGTTAGAGCTTGGAGACAATGGAGTCATGAAAAGGGAAGATTAAATTTTGAAGAAGCAAGGTGTAATAGTCAAGGTGATTACTTTTGTGAATAGTACTTATTTGGTTGCTTTGGGGATTATATTCACCAACATTTTTTCTAGGAATTTAATTACTGAAATTATTTGGTTAACATAAGATATAAGTGTACTTCATATTTCATGTGAATTGTGAATTTTCGGTGATTTAGGTAATTATTTTCCTGGGCCATGATATTAATATGCGGCAATGAACTAAAAATTCTTATGTTGTAATTCCTACATTTTGCAAATTTTATATAAATTAAATTAAACAGCAAAGAACCTAGGTTTTTAAAAGAATTTCCATTGCATACGTCAAAAAGTGCAACCAAGCAAACACCAAAATTATTGATAAGGTTATCAGAACCAATCAAAGATTATAACCATCAACTAAATAGCGTTAAGGCTTTCAAACAATATACGCTACTTCCAATAACTCCGCCATTTCATTAAATATGACCATGCATTATATTGTCAATTTGTCATTATATATACCTATACTAATTTAACATTTTTTTTTATTTTTGGATGGCTAATGCGCCCGATGCGTGCATGTAGTTAGCCATGTCCTGAAATTTTTTCAGTTTCGTTTTATGTTACACCGTTAGTTGTTGGTAATATTAACAAGAGAAAATAAAACAAAAGGAAAAAAAATAATAAAAAAAACAATGTTACACATGTGATTCGCATGCATAAATGAGGGTAAATATGTATATAGACATTTTTAAGAATATAATTGGCATAACACTCTATTCACAAGTGTTTAATTAAACTTTTAATTAATATAAGGTAGGGATTAAAAAAAAGTTCTTCAACAAGTCTATGGATCATGTGGCACTATCCATTTGGCTGCTTTATTCTATGTCGTCCATATATATACAAATGTTACAATTAAACTAAACGTATTTTGTACAAGATTTGATTTAGTGACCTCGACTTTATGTGTTTAAAACCATAAACTTATAAAGTACAATATTGAACCCAATTGATTGTTGGTGTAGTGGTGATTGAGGCTACACTTGATAGGGAGAACCGCGTGTTCAATCCCCCGCAACAACAATTGGGAGGGGACTGGAACCTAACCACCCAAAATTGATTCTCGAATCCAAATTAGTCCAAAGGGTGAACCAAGTAGAACACCAAAAAAAAAAAAAAAAAAAGTAGTACAATATTGATAACTCAAAGTATAATGATGATCTAAAATATTGCCCGATCTTACAAGTTTAATTTATTTATGATTAGAAGAGTTATTTATTTTATGTTTAATTTATTTATGATTAGAAGAGTTATTTATTTTATTACCCTTTGAAAACAAGAGTTATGATCAATTAATCTTTGTTTAATGAAAAAATAAAAATAAATAAACACTAATTTTTCATGTGTGGCCGGGTTACTTGATCAGGGATTACTCGGTCGATCAGAAATTACTCGGTCGATCAGGAATTATCAGATCAGTGTTTTGATGCATCAGCATGCCACACGGCATGACCAGCCACGCCAAAAAAAAAGCTATGTTTTGCTCAACCTAAATGTCAGTTATTTAACTTAATCCCACTTAACAACCTAAATTATATGCCTGACCAGCTGACCTAAACTTTTTTTTTTCGGCAGTTGGAAAATAATTAAAACAGCCTGACCTAAACTTAATGAATAAAAAAAAAATGCTTTAACGTTATTTTCATTAAACACGCCATGTTATTCCATTAAAGATTAAGCTACCCAACGAGCAACCAAAACTGCTGTATGCCTGACCTTAGAGATACAAGTAGATTTATTCAGCGTTAATTAACTTGATTTAGACACAACACATGCTAGTATATACTTATGCAACTCCCTCCTTATTTAAATAAATTAAATATTTTGATTTTTTGCACTATTTATCTAGTTTACTTTTACTAAGGTTTGTCAATTGTCATTTGTACATTAAAAATAAATATAGTCTTGTGGATTCTTGTTGGAATCTTCCCAATTTATAGTTTATTAATATTTAATTGTTATAATTTTTACTTATTTATAATTAAAAATATTATCAGTCAAAGTATTACATTGACATACCTGCACAAGGTAAATGTTTCATTTATTTAAATACGGAGGGAGTACTAATATTATGTAATTAATGTATACTCTTTTACTTTAAATTGTACGTAGTGTGTTCATTTAAGAACATCGCTTGATTGATTGAAATAATTAAGGGTTGATTTAATGATTTTAATGGTTAAAACTAATTAAGTTTTGTTGATTAGCTAGTTATATATAACAAAAATAATTGGACACTAGTTTGTGCCCGTGTGAATGCACGAGACGATTTTTTATAAAAGTTGTACGGTATTGAATTAAAAAATAACATGAGGATAAAGAAATTCGAATGCCCAACCTTTTATAAAAAAGATGGGTATTTAACCATCTAACTCAATTATCAACCATGTTACAACATGAAAATAAATAAATATACTTGCAAATCATCTCAAGATTTAATCAGGCTTAATTAGAAAATAACACCTGCAAAAAGACCCGATTTTGTTTATAACACCTTAACATTTCGAAATTTTATTATAACACCTACAAAAATCCCAAAATTTTGGTTTCACCACCCACTAACGGATTTTTGGATGGAAACCGTTAGTGGGACCCACTAGGGACACGTGTCAGTTGTTTATTGGCTTAAAAATAAAAATTAGGGGTTTTTTTTTATTAATTTTTATTTTTAAGCCAATAAACAACTGACACGTGTCCCTAGTGGGTCCCACTAACGGTTTCCATCCAAAAATCCGTTAGTGGGTGGTGAAACCAAAATTTTGGGATTTTTGTAGGTGTTATAATAAAATTTCGAAATGTTAAGGTGTTATAAACAAAATCGGGTCTTTTTGCAGGTGTTATTTTCTAATTTGGCCTCACCATAAATATTAAATACATATAATCACAAGGAATAATTAAAGTAGCAATCCGGTACAACGTCCGGGCTACACACTAGTTGATTATGAAAATTGTTGAAAATTGTAGAAAAAAAAAATCCTTAAAATGACCACTACTATTCTTAAATTCTATTTTTTTATTTTTCCTTTATTTTAAATGCTTGGTCAAACCTCTTTTTTTATTTTTTCCTTTTTAATTCTTTTTTTTTTCCTAAAATTTATTTCTGATTTTTCGAAATTTTTTTCTTAATTTCATAATTATTTTATTAAAATCACTTTTTAATAAAATCCAAAAATAAGATTAAATTAAAAAAATCAAAATCAAAAAATTAATCTTCATTCTACTTCAACGTTCTTCAAGGCTCTTCATCCATATGGATGAATTTAACCACCAATTCATGATCTATGACTCGTAAAAACACTCAAGCATCGACAAAGATTGAACATATGCCCCGATTGACATTGCATATGTGAAAATTTTCAGTTTTCGAAAATCGGGGTTCGTGTGAATTTGGGTTATTTTCTAATCTTAGAATAATTCTTATTAATTGGACTATTTCAATCAAGGGATGCGAAATTGGCGATTCTATGTATTCAAAAAACTTTATTTATTTATTTTTTATGTATTCAAAAATCTTAAATGTTCACTTTTTCGATAATCTGGGTTCGTGAGGAAAATCTTGGAATAAATCGTATAATAATTTTTTCAAAATCCTATTTGATAAAAGAAAAAATGAATATGAAATTTTTAATCTTGTTTTTGTATTTGTATAAGGTATTCGCCTAAATACTACTAGGACATTACCTGTGATGCACATCTTTATAAATTATTGCCTACGACCATATGTCATTTTTTATTTACAAATTTATTCATGCTCTAATCTTGTTACTTTATGTTAAATTACTTTCTTTTTATAACTTGAATTAGTCAAACATTTGTATGGTAACATTTGAATATATTTTGAATATATTATATTATAGTGTATATGTCATATTTGTTAAGTTTGTATTTATCTCCTTATTGTCAGCTAGATAGTTTCCATAGTTGTAGGCTAATCAATTATCTTATTATACTCGTGTATATTGTGTATATATTTTGAGCTTAACAAATACTTCCTCCGTCCTTTTTTACTTGGCCTGTTTCTTTTATCACGTTTGTCAATGCAAAACTTTAACGATCATTAACTTTAATTCTCCATAAATAAAATTTATACAATTTATATTTTGTGATAGTGTTTATTGAGACGAATTCAAAAAGATCCTACATGAATATGTTTTTCCTTGCATATAATTCACAAAAGTCGGTTAAATAAAAAGTAGTAAATAGTGTAAAAGTCAAAGCGGGTCGAATAAAAAAGAGTAGAGAAAATATGATATATACACTATATATAATAGAATATATTCAAAATATTTATTCTAACAGCGTCGTCTATAAAAATAACATATGCGTAAAAGTGAAGAAAAATGTAATTACGTGGGTCTTTTCATTGAACTTTGTGAATATATACAAAATACAAGCTATTAGTTAGGCAAATATTTTGCTATCATATATTCATATGCGTGACTATAGCTACTGGTTGCTAGGAATTAGGAGATCAACTATATAATGTTTGATACTATTTTCAAAGCTTACATTACAAAAAGGAGCCTAAATATTTACTAGCTATAAATACAAAGATACAATATAAAATAGAATAAGAAGATATGATAATGGTTCCTAGTTTTTTGCTAGGGTTTTCCCTCTAGGTTTCTTCTCGGGAGGGTGGTTTTTCCTAATTTTTTTGCTAGGGTTTTCCCTCTAGGTTTCTTCTCGGGAGGGTGTTTTTTCCTAATTTTTTGCTAGGGTTTTTCCAGTTTTTTTTAGGGTTTTCCTTCAATCTTCTCCCTTCTCCCTTTTTCCTCCTTCATCCTTCTCTCCTTGATCGCCATTGTGATTACTGGTAGGGGCTAACACTGGTTCGTTGATCAGTTGTAAGCCCCAAAATCCCTTTTTAATCGCTTATAATAATAGATCTCATCCTTACGATGTTTTGATCGGTGTAGATGATTTCTCTTTTGTTATCGGAAGTTCTAATTTTTTGGTGGTGGCTCGTGTGGC